AAATAACTTTGAAACTGCTTGGAGTCTGCTGTTAAGAACGGCAAAAGTCTTCAGTTTGTTTGTTGTTTTGAAGCACCTAAGCCATAACAGACTGGGGCTGGCTCAAGGTTTGAGGGGACCCTGTGTGAAATGACTTGTAATGAACTCCCTTCCCTATTGGTGGATCCCTCAAGCTGATCTGAGGCAGGAGTAATACTCTTAGCAGCAGTGCAGGGTGGCCAAGGCCAGCAATCATATTTATTTCCCACAATGCCCTAGACTGATGCTAGGTGAGGGACATTCTGGCAAATGAAAATGGCACCTAGAGCCAGCCACCAATCACTGATCAATACAGATACTAATGTTGATTCAGCTATATACCGATTCAGATTCCAGCTGCTGGAAAGAATTCAACACAGCACACTGACAATTGTTCCATCATTGCAAGCTTATCAGCTTGCCAGACAGTATGATCCGTCTTCTCCTCCACCTGCATGCTGTGCTTGAGGCTCTCCCAGCCCCCTCGCCCTCATGGGGACATGGGGGTACACAGGGGAAGAGAGGGGAGAAAGCTCCATTAAACTGGCAGAAGTCTTCACATGGGCTTCTGCGTGTAGAACTCATTAGCTGAACCCCACCCAGTGTGTTCATGTACACTGTCTACATGTATGTATTTATTTAACTATGTTACTTACAATGTGATTTTTTGCTGTTAGTAGTAGCAGCAGTACAGTTTGGTTTTGAATGTGGAATTTGTACTGTATTTCTTATACAGAATCCTTTTAGTTGGGATTTGTAAACCATTCAGAGATTTCTGTTGAAAAATAAAGCAGAATACAAATTAACTAAATAACAAACTAACATGTTTTGGGGGGCAGAAAGTAAAACAGAAAACAGATGTTAATAGAGTTTGCTCTTGGCTTCTCCAAAGTGGAGCAGCACCAGAAGGAGAGATTATACACATAAGAACCCAACTAGGCTCTTTGGTGAACTATTAATCCTCAATAAAAAAAGAAAGTAAACTAGCTCCCTAGCAGACTACTTGAGCCCAGAACCTTCAAGTGTCCCTATTTTCCAGGGATAGTACCAGATTTACAGAAGCCATCCCAGTTTTTTATTTAATCCTGGAATGTCCTGCTTTTCCTTAGGATGTCCCTATTTTCATTGGATAAATGTTGGTGGGTATGGAGCTATCCGACCCCTGAGCCATCTGAAGGCAGGCCTGTATAGGGAAGTTTTTTAGTGTTTAATGTTTTATTATGTTTTTTATATCTGTTGGAAGCAACCCAGAGTGGCTTGGGCAACCCATTCAGATGGGTGGGGTATAAATAGTTAAATAGTTAAATAAAGAAATAAACAGGACATCCCTATTTTCACCAGATAAATGCTTTAGCTGAGCTTCCTCAAATGTCTGGGGATTTTGTGGTCTGCCCTAATGTGAAGAGTCAGATGAAGCCTTCATCCATTTCACTTTTTATTTCTCAGTTAAATATTCAGAGCAATTTAAAACAAACAAAACAATCAAGCCTCGCAGTGCTATGGGCATTACAGATAGAAAGCAAGCCATATATGTCTTCTTCTTTCTGAAATAAACATTTTATTATTAAACTCTATTAGCATTTCTATAATAAACTCTATTAACATTTGTTATGTGACAAATTCCTTATTAGGGGGTTGACAAATGTTCACAGAGAACTAGATTTACAGTGGCTTCTGGTTCACACTATTGCCTGTGCTCTATTGTTCTTGCTTTTCGTTGTTCCTCTGAAAATGCATTCTGAACCAAGCTGAATTTTGAATAAGCGCCACTTTGTGTAAAGAGTCAACAATCCTTTTATAAGGAAGAGAAAACTGGAAATTGTTATATAGAGTGTGACACATATGGAAATGTACAATTTTGTAAATGTTAATTAATTCCACCTCTAGTCTTTATTTATATGTAAATTAAATGGCAGGAAATAAAATACGATTTTAAGTAGGCAAACATATATTTATTTTCATATTTTTTAAGCACACCATTGTAGTTCAAGGAATGAAGATTAGTTCTTTATTGTGGTGGAGAATTTAGAAGCGGTTGTGAAGAGCTCACTTCAGATGTTTCCAACCATGTAATCATTTTTTAAAATACTACCAGAATTGACTGCCAGTTCTTTGTAGGAGGAACATTTGAGGTAAAGAGTCTTCATCATTTGCCAGGTTTTTATGCAAACCAATGGCTATGATCCAATGCTGGATAGGCAAAGCAAGGATTCATAAACATGTTGATGGAAAGTTGGTTTCCATCATAGCTTACTGGCACTGGAATAATGCAGAATACAGGAACATATACTGTCAATGCTGTAATATAATGAAGATTATGGATTGGATCCATGGTGCTCCCTCTTTCACAGAAGGATGCCATAAATGGATGGGTCTTGGAGGTGACCCCTGAGGAATGGAGGCAACTTTTCTCGATTCTTGAACCACACTACACCCCCCTGTGCCAAGCCCCATGCTATTCTGGATAGCCCCCCAGCCCTCTAGAGCAGGTGGGAGAGTGCAAGTAGAAGACAGTGTAGTGGGGCAGTGGCACTCACCAGACCTCCTGACAGCTGTGTCAGGGAACTGACATCTGAGACCAGTGGAGAGAGAAGTCACCCCGATGATGCAGGGGAGGGAACTAGCAAGGAGAGAGAGAGAGAGCTTCCGCGGGGGAAGGGAATCAAGGTGACACCAAGAAGAAAGGGGAGGCTGAGAGCACTTTGGAGGGAAGGCTCAGGGACTCTTCCAGTGAGATCAGCGGGGAGAGTGCAGGACCTCCGCTTGGCACGCCTACTCTGGGCAGAAGGCTTCCGCGCAGAGAAGCTAGGAGGAGACTTGCGGTCAAGGAATTTTTATGTTGGAAGAAGTTTAGGAAACGCCCACTAACTGATTCTGCCAGCGACTGAAGCAGCCGCGCATGAGGGCTGTCCAGCCAGGGAAAGGTTTAACCACCCAAGCAGCTTGGAGCAGTTGGTGGCTTACACACAAGCAACTACAATTCCCATTACAAGCTGAGTTGCTGCTGCTTTCCGGGAAGGAATAGGGGATGGCCAAGATGGTGGGGGCCTCACTGTGGTGCAAATACATTGGCAAGAGCACCAAATTGGTTCTGCTGGTGCATTTGCACCATGATAGCCTCCCTGCTGCCTTGCCCCTCCCCCTCCCAGGACACTCCAGAGGGCAATCCCCATCCTATCCTCCCTAGGAGTGGGAAGAGACCAGCAGTGCCTCCTATTTGCCCACCGGCTGCTGTAGAGGCAACACAGGGGAGGACTGCTGAGGAGGCAGCAGATCTGGCATCCAAGGAGCACACTGCAGTCATTGCTGTCACTGTCAGCAGCAGCAGGGAGCAGTACATTCCTTGGAGGTTGGATCTGCTACCCCCGTGGATCCTGCCACCTGAGGCTGTTGCCTCACCTTGCCTCATAGGTGGGCCGACCCTGGAGTTTGCTGTTCTCCTCTTGTTTATCCAATTCTGGGGAGATTTTTTCCCTTTATGGTTGGGCCCTCTGTGTTTCATAGCATGCGGTCTACATTCCAATGGCAAGTAACATTCAAAAGTGTGATGTTCTTGCATTCAACAGTGAAGACAGGTGCTAGTATCTTTGCCAGAAAAAAAGTTTATTAGTAATGTATGTGAATCCTTGGCTCAGTTGGTTAAAGCAAAGTGCTGATAACACCAAAGTTGCAGGTTCGGGTTGGACTAGATGAGCCTAAGGGTCCCTTCCAACTCTACAGTTCTATGATTCTTAACAGAGCCTGTCTTTGCCCCTGCCCCCACCCCCACCCCACCCGCATCCTTACACGCACTACTTCCTTCTATGGGTGAGTTTGCCTTTCTAGCAGTACACCTTAAAAGATAGCCTTAGGAGGGATTTGATGGTAACAAAACTAACAATTAGTCGCCTGAGAAACAGTTTCTATCCAAATGCGATTCTGGTTTTAAATGCAGTGTAAGGAGTCTCAATGGGAGTATATTGTATTTAAAAATGGGGTATCAGAGTTTTTAGGTGGCTAACCAGGTTGGGATAGCTGGGATAGCAGGCTTGTTGGTTTTTGAATGTCTTATGTAGATTTTTTTTTTCAATTTCATTGTTCTATATGGGACAATGGCAATAAAGATTATCGTATCGTAATTAAAGAGGCACTCGGAATTCAGTGGTCTCTGTGGTATCAATGCCCATTTGTCTGATGATGAAATTTGTATGGTGGTGGTGATTAAATCCATTCTTTTCAACCTTTTCATGTGTTATTCAGAAAGGGTGTCAAGGAAAACTACACTATTTGGCTCTCTTGTAAACAACAATGATTACTGGAGCTGGATCCCAAGCCAAACTGAGTCAATCTGGGATTTAGCAAAAGTCAAGCCTTTCCTGTATCAGTCTCTAGGGTCACAGCCAGCACTGTGACTCTCCAATGGTTTGACTTTACCCCTGAAAGTACATATTCTTCCATTGTCTCCCCAGACAGATGGTTGCCAACAAAACATGTTGAGGCAGCCGTGGGTACAGGGGGAAGAATGAGACACAGGCAGGCTTCATGCATTGTGCCCCCCTCCCCCGCATTCAGTCTGCATCATCCTGGGTTGAATTGGGGCCACTCCAAAGCACCAGATCAAGCTCTGAATCAGATTGGGAGAGCCATGCAAAGCCCTAATGATTACTAATATATTATATATTTTGGAAAGTTGTTTATTTGCTATGCAATTGGATACCTCTGAAGATATGGTAATCAAATTTTGCAGGATGGTACTTGAGATCAACGAACAGGTTTTCATATATATTTGGATACAATTGTTCAGTATTTTGAATCAGTATGGACTGAACCTTTCAAAACTGAACTGATTTCCCTAGCCTGCTAGTGGGTTAATACTTCCTGAGCAGATGTGTCTTCGCATAACCTTTATCACTTGATGACTGAGTGAAATAAGGGTAGCAAAGTGTCTTTCCTGCATTCATATTTGATGTGTCATTTTCTTTTCATTCTTTTTTATCTTTCAGGGCCATGCATTCCTAATCCCTGCCATAATGGTGGAATATGTGAAATTAGTGAAGCCTATAGAGGAGACACATTCATAGGCTATATCTGCAAATGCCCAGAGGGGTTTAATGGGATCCACTGCCAGCACAGTAAGTTTCAATATAATACTTTCTTCTTCTGCCCCTTTAGAACTACAATGCAATTCAGAGGTCACCGAGTTTTGGGGGCCTGTGGGCACCTTTGCAAACCAGAGAAAATGCTGTGGGCACCACACACACTCTAAACAAGGACACACTGCAACCTAATGCTTCTTTCAAGCCTAATTTCAGTGGGAAAGGGCCAGTGGAGAGAATCCTGTGCACCAAGTAATGACACATTGGTGATACAACTCCTATCCTACAAAGAGGTATGCTGGTACAATTTTATGGACTTCAGCCAACAGCTTTGGAAAACTATTACAGTTTTGATTGATCTTCTTCATATATTGTGGTAAGGTTGGCTATCAGTCTGAGGAGCTTTAAGAAAAGTGACCGGTAGGATTCCTCTATCCATGGACCTCGTGGACTTACAGGGTGGTGGCAAGCTAAACAGCACTATGTGGCTCAGTGCAGCCACTACTTTAATGCCTCACAATGCCCCAGATTGATGCTTAGTCAGGGGTAGTTAGGGAATTAGCATAGCTCCCAGTGCTGCTCAGACAGCCAGGCTATAACCATTTTTAAATGGGTGCCACAGAACACACATCAGCAGTGCTCTGTTAGGACTCACTGGAACCTTGGTAGCTGTCCAAAGGTGCCAAGTGCTGATTCTGGTCATCACCTTGTGGCCGTTCAGACTTGTATCCTAGTTGTTCAGAAGGGCTCAATTTTGAATTCAGGATGGTGGAGGAGGGGAGAGACCTAATAATTTCTTCTTCTTCCTTAGTATGTGTTTTTTAAGCACACACACTGTGAGAAGAACTTGATTCCTTGTCATAAAATAAAGATGAGCTGAATTGGGTGTCAGAAAAGTGGAATGTGGCCAGATTTGCCGTAGGGCTCGTGGTTTCGTCTTGATGTTGTCAGCAGTTCATTTGGTTAATGATAGCTGGAGATGAAAAGGGTTGTAAAAAGCAGATATTTATGCTAATAGGTTTTCCCCTATATTCGCTCTTTCAACCCATTTTAATACCAGCCTGAGACAGGTGCTCTTAGTCATGTTATTTAATTCAATAGGAAGACTTTCCTGAGGGCTTTATTAATGAACACACTGGATTTAAAAGCAATGGGCTTCTAACATTTAGGCTGAAGGCACAGCATTCATTTTACCTACAATTTGTTATAACTACTTGGGAAAATATCTATTAAATTATGAATTAGACTTCTACCACCACCACATTTTCTCATGATTTTGGGATTAAAAAGATGAAGGACTTTTAATGCTTGTTTTCTCCATGTGAGCAATGCTAGGTCTTCTCCATCATGGAAGGCTTAGAGCAGGGATGGAGGGCATGTGGCCTACCAACAGCTGCTACCAACCTCAGATAGCATGGCCAATGGTCAGGGATGATGGGGGTTGTAGTCCAACAACATTTCGGGGACTACAGATTTCTCATTCCAGACTTAGACAACAGCAGCAAGAAGCCAGACATGAACCCAGTTTTGTCTCTCAGCAAGAATGGCATAGACATGTGGAAACCACTGACTCCACCAGGATAAAACAAGTCCAGTGACACCTGGTGACTAAACCATATCTTGAGATGATCAACGCACATTTTTAAAATGTGAAAAGTTTTATACCTGTCTATCCCCTATACAAGGGATGCGGGTGGTGCTGTGGGTTAAACCACAGAGCCTAGGGCTTGCCGATCAGAAGGTTGGCAGTTCAAATCCCCGCAGCAGGGTGAGCTCACATTGCTCGGTCCCTGCTCCTGCCAACCTAGCAGTTCGAAAGCACGTCAAAGTGCAAGTAGATAAATAGGTACCGCTCCGGCGGGAAGGTAAACGGCGTTTCCATGCGCTGCTCTGGTTCGCCAGAAGCGACTTAGTCATGCTGGCCACATGACCCGGAAGCTGTACGCCGGCTCCCTCGGCCAATAAAGCGAGATGAGCGTCGCAACCCCAGAGTCGGTCACGACTGGACCTAATGGTCAGGGGTCCCTTTACCTTTACCTTTATCCCCTATACAAATGAGTCTTTCAAAGAAGCTTGTAATTAAAAAATAAATATAAAAGCAATAGTAACCCAGTCATAAAAATCCAAGTTAATAAAGCCAAAAGCAGCCAAAAACAAAAAACACACAGGACAGCATTAACAATCAATGCAAGTAGTCTGGTCACAAGCTGTTTAGGGCTCTATATGTGATAGCCCTTGGATTGGTAGCCAGTGCTGCTGATACGTTTATGGGGTCACATGATCCCAGATTCTTGCCCTTCTTAAGATTTTAGCAGCAACAGTACACCTCACTTGTTTCAAAACCAGACCTGAATCCAGGCTGAAATCTGTCTAGTTAATCAGTTTCATTTGGGATTCTTTGAATTGGGTCACCAATAAATGCTTAAGCATCGTATTAAAAAATGGAATATTGGGCACTGACTTATGATTCTTCAATACAGCAGAATCCAAAGATTGCTGCTTTAAAAGACAAACTATTGCCATTTGTAGACAGGGCAGAATAGAACCCTTAAGGAGAATTCAAGATTTTCACCACACAATCAGCTAGTCCTCCTCTGGTTGCCAGTCTGGATGGACAAAGGTCAAGTACATATTTGAACAAGCTTCCTGGTACAAGGATCCTGTCCAAGTTGCTCCCCAACTACTGTGGACCTTGATGTAAAGGACCAGTAACTACCCAAAAAGCTCCACTTGCTGATTATGTGCAGATAAATTAGATAAATTAGCCTTTTATCACTGCCATCTTTGGAATAGATGTGAAAGTAGACTCTAGCTGTGTTCAGTCAGATTCATAACGGGTCTGCTTCTCTTGCAACTAGTTATCTCTTACCCATTTCATTGCCAACAAATTATCAGAAAACTGGAAAACCGCAATGTGTTCAAATGGACAAGTATAATGTGTTGGTCAATTATGGGAATTGCTGGTGTAGCTTGCTTCACACAACCATAGTTTCTCACAACTATCAGGATTGTATTTAAAACAAAAACGGCCCACTTTATATTCTTAATTTTAAAAGAATATTATAGAAATAGAGTTGTCAGAGCAAAGGGAAGCTAGGCAATCCTGTAGTAACTTCAAAGTGAACATGTACAGTACCATTTTTATTACCAATGATTCTTTATTTTTGCCTCCCCCACCCCCAATTTCTTAAGAATATGCGTACCTTTTTCAGAAGCAAATATCACACAACACCATTTTTTTTCAACTAGGAGAATATCTGCACTATCTCTTACAGTAGACTGGTATTTAGAAAATCAATACTGTACTTAAAGAGGAACTATGATAACACATTGACACTGTAGGTGCAAAATTTAAGCTATAATCAATATTGTGAAGTACTGCACCCCAGTCATTCTTGGGTTCCTTTGTTTTTTCAGTTGAAACATTCCAGCATACATTACCTTGACTAATGGAGTGATTATGCTTTGATTGGATACCACAACTCTCTGTCAGCTACTAACAAGAAATTTCATTTATCTAATATAAATGTATCCAAAATGTAAATAAATGAACTTCAGGCTATATTTGTAGCATTTTAGAAAGCTGAACTCCTTTCCTAAATGCATCAACAGAGAGTAATCTAGTTGATTAAACACATTCTCCAGAGTGGTGCATGTTTTTGTCCAATTCGTTGCTAACAAATTTATATAGGCTTATAAAATATCTCCTCCTTGCTTCCTTGTCTGTGAACTCATTGGAATTCAGGTATGTGCTCTGCTGAAACTTATGCTGTGTGCAGAAGCTGAGTGACCTCATTCCAAAGCAAGTGGCTTCTTCTGGAATTCAGATTGCTGAGTGTCGACCTGTAATTTAGTTTATCTCAAATTGTAATATCTAATATTATCCAACCAAATCAATTAAACTAGATAATTAGAAAACCTATCACACAACACTGACAAAATCATGCCAACGAATCTCAAAATGAATATTTCTGTGATTCCCTGACATTTGGTTCATGTACTGGATCATGTACACAATTAATATGTAAATTGCAGAGCATATCACTATTAATTTTTACTGAATTCATATGCTAAGCTTGACAGCTGTGGCTTATTAATGTTTCAATATCCCTCAAAAGCGCCTGATGCTTCATTGGTGATACCAATAGGCACATATTCTCTATGCCACTGTGAGGGGTCATAAATTGAACTGCAATTAGTATGGGTGGGAAAGAAATCCCAGATGCCTCAAATGCCATTGCTAATAATGTGATATAATTTAGCACTGAGCTGTGAAACAAAGTGTGCAGATGAGAACCCATGCTAATTTCTACCATTATCAGACCTTGTGTAACAGATGCATTGTTCTAGACACACCCTGAGGTATTAAAGGATTCCTAGGCTTTCAAAACAAGACTGCTTAACCACCTCATTAAAGGCTATCTTGCAACTGTACAATTCTCTGCTTCCCAGAATTTTATTCCTCACATTTTGTACCCCATGATTCCTCCAAGGAGCTCAGGAAGAGATATGTGGGTCCACCCCATTGTTTGGTTCACAATAAAACCCTGTAAGGCCCAGGATCACCCTGTGAGAGGGAATGTCAAATGCAGGTCTTCCCCAGTACAAGTCCATCACTCTAGCCACATAACCAATTTCCCTCAACTTTTTAAGTGGAATTGGCATACGGTAGCTCGTAGTTCATTTAGATATAGATAGATAGATAGATAGATAGATAGATAGATAGATAGATAGATGATAGATAGATAGATAGATAGATAGATGATAGATAGATAGATAGATAGATAGATAGATAGATAGATAGATGATAGATAGATAGATATCTTTATTGTCATTGTCCCATGCAGAACAATGAAATTGAAAAACTACATAAAACTACATGAAAACTACATAAAACCACTACAAAACTACATAAAACATTCAAAAACCCCTAAAAACTCTAAAACCCCATTTTAAAATACACTATACTATAGAGACCCCGTATGCTGCATTTAGAACCAGAATTGCATTTATTTATTTTATAAAAGTTATATAGT